AACAGGCTCGGCGCCTGTGGCTCAAGTGGCTAAGGTGCCAGCCACATACACCTAAGGTGGCAGGTTCGAATCCTGCCAAACAACAATGATAGCTGCAACCAAAAAATAGCTGGGCATTGTGGTGTACGCCTGTGGTCCCAGCTACTTGGGAGGCTGAGGCAGGAGCCTCGCTTGAGCCCAGGAGTTGGAGGTTGCTGTGAGCTGTGATGCCACGGAACTCTACCCAGGGGAACAGCTTGAGGCTCTGTCTCAAAAAAAAAAAAAAATAGCCCATCGTTTTGGCGAGTACCTGTAGTCCCAGCTATTTGGAAGGCTGAGGCAGGAGGATCACTTGAGCCCAGGAGTTCGAGGTTGCCATGAGCTATGATGATGCTACAGCACTCTACCAGGGGTAAGAAAGTGAGACCCCGCTCCAAAATAAATAAACAAACAAATAAATGAATGAATAAAAATAGAAAAAACTAGCGAGATATTGTGGCAGGTGCCTATAACCCTAGCTACTCGAGGCTGAGGCAAGAGGATCACTTAAGCCCAAGAGTTTGAGGTTGTCATAAGCTATTTTACTGTGAGCTATGTTGTCATGGCACTATCCAGGGTGACAGAGTTGAGACTCTGTCTAAGACAAAAAAAGAAAAGGAAAGGAAAGGAAGGGCAGGGAAAGGAAGAGAAGGGGAGTCAAGTCAGGTGTGGTGTCAGGCTTCTGTAGTCCCATCTACTTGAGAGGCAGGAGGATCACTTGACCCCAAGAGTTTGAGATTGTCGTGAGCTATGATGATGCTACAGCACTCTACCCAGGGCGACAGAGTGAGACTCTGTTTCAACAAAAAAGTAAATAAATGTCTGCTACATATACCTCAAGCTTTCTTGGCATATCAACTTGGAAGAACACTGATCAGCGCATGGGAATGGGTGGGAAGAAGGTTCCAGGTGGTGCCACCCACCAGTAATCCCTATTATCCTCTCCCTGCAGATCAACATGTACCTGTTGTCACGTGTCCTCTTTGCCCTGTGCCGCTTGGGTGTGGAGAAGGGCTACATCCCTGAGCCAAAGTGGGACCCATTCCCGATGTTAACCGCAGTGGTGTGGGGGCTGGTCCTGTGGCTCTTTGAGTATCACCGGCCCACACTGCAGCCCTCGTTGCAGTCCTCCATGACCTACCTCTACCAGGACAGCAACGTGTGGCACGACATCTCAGATTTCCTCATCTACAACAAGAGCCACCCCTCCAAGTAATGCAGCCCTGAGGTGACCGTGGAGGGCTTCTCCACCTGAGTAGGCTCCAGGCAATGTCAGCTGCAGCTTGGGTTTTGGCTCAGGAAACTCTCCCAGAGGATACCACCTTCTCAAGGTTACTGGCCTCAGACTGAACGTGTGTTATCCCAGGGTTCCAGGGGCCCAAGTAAAAGTACTGATGTCCACATCCCAGTAGGTACTCTTGAATGGTGGAACAAGTGGTGGAATAAGGCTGAGGAGTCTTGGGCTTGGTTCCAGCTGTGCATGCTGCTCACTTCTGTGAGATGGGGCGAGTCACACCTCTCTCAGGAGTCACTGAGCTCGAAGGAAGGTCCTGAGATTTCTTTCTGGTGGGTACATTCTTTCTCAGACTATTTTTATATCACCAAATTCCCCTTATTTTAAACAAAAAATTAAGTTCTTTATCTCAGGTGTTGTTCTATCGGAGAAGTTCTAAAGCTCCACTGTCCGGTAGAAATACAATGTGAGTTATGGAAGTAAATTTTTTCTAGTAGCCACATGTTAAAAAGTAAAAAGAAGGGTGGCACTTGTGGCTCAGTGAGTAGGGTGCTGGCCCCATATACCGAGGGTGGCGGGTTCAAACCCAGCCCTAGCCAAACTGCAACAAAAAAATAGCCAGGCATTGTGGCGGGCTCATGTAGTCCCAGCTACTCAGGAGGCTGAGGCAAGAGAATCACACACGCCCAGGAGTTGGAGGTTTCTGTGAGCTGTGACGCCACAGCACTCTACCCAGGGCAACAAAGTGAGACTCTGACTCTTTAAAAATAAATAAATAAATAAAAAGAACCAGGTGAAATTAATCTTAATGAGATATATATATATACATATACATATATATGTATATATATTATTATATATGTATATAAATATACATATATATACAAACCCAATATAAACCCAATATTTCTAAAATGTTATTATTTCTTTCTTTCCTTCTTTTTTTCTTTGAGATAGAATCTCACTCTGTTATCCTGGGTAGAGTGCCATGGCATTATCATAGCTCACTTCAACCCAAACTCTTGAGCTCAGGCAATCCTCATCTTCCCAGGTAGCTGTAATTATAGGTGCCTGCCACAATGCTCAGCTAGTTTTTTCTATTTTTAGTAGAGACAGGGTCTTATTCTTTCTTAGGCTGGTCTTAAACTCCTGAGCTCAAGCCACCACTTGCCTCAGCCTTCCAGAGTGCTAAAATTACAGGCATGAGCCACTGTTCCTGGACTTAAAATGTTATTATTTCAACATAATTAACAAAAATTTAATTAGATTTTTTTTTTTTTTTGAGACAGAGCCTCAAGCTGTCACCCTGGGTAGAGTGCCGTGGCATCACAGCTCACACAACCTCCAACTCCTGGGCTCAAGCGATTCTCCTGCCTCTGCCTCCCAAGTAGCTGGGACTATAGGCACCTACCACAATGCCTGGCTATTTTTTAGTTGCAGCCGTCATTGTTGTTTGGTGGGCCCAGGCTGGATTTGAACCCGCCACCTCAGGTATATGTGGCTGACACCTTAGATGCTTGAGCCACAGGTGCCGAGCCTGTTTGTTTTTGTTTTTGTTTTTTTTTTAAGAGACAGAATCTCACTTTGTCACCTTTGGTAGAATGCTGTGGCATCACAGCTCACAGCAACTTCCAGCTCTTGGGCTTAGGTGATTCTCTTGCCTCAGCTCCTGAGTAGCTGGGACTATAGGCGCCCGTGGCAACACCCAGCTATTTTCTTGTTGCAGTTTGGCTGGGGCCAGGTTTGAACCTACCACCTTCGGTATATGGGGCCGGTGCCCTGCTCACTGAGCCACAGGCGCAGCCCTAATTAGATGTTTTATACTCTTTTTTTTTTTTCTTTTGTAGTATATCTTTAAAAGCAGGTGTGTGTTTTACACAGCACACCTCAACTTGAACCAGCCATGTTTCCAGTGCTCAGTAGCCACTTGTGGATAGTGGCTACCAGATGAGCAACACAGCTATGTAATACCTGTGTCCTCACAGAAGATTCTAGTGGACGGTGCAGATCTAGAGCTAGAGAACATGGGTTTGAGTCCTCACTCCACCACTGTGTAACCTTGGGGAAGGCTCTACATGTCTCAGATCCTCCATTTTGTCATAAAATGGGAAGAATCATAATGCATGGTATCCACATTGGGCTTATACAACTATCGCTGCTACCACTACTACTAATTACTTCTGTTTAGTGACCTCCTACTTCCTCCTGGGTGCTTTGTACATATTATTTTTAATCCATGCAATAACCTTGCAGGTATATATTTTGACCCCCATTTTATAGGTGTGGAAACTAAGATCAGAGAGAGGAATAACTTAGCCAAGGTAATATACCACATATGATAGCCAAATCAGGATTTGAAGCTAGATCTGTCTGATTTCAGTGCCTTGCTTCAAATTTAGAAACGTAAGGCATACTATGCAAATCTTAGCTAGTTAAAGGATCTGGGCCAGAGGGAGGTGTAAACTCAAATGCCTGCAGGGGCCTGTAGTGGCATAAATGGAAGTGTTAAGGGTGCTATGTGGTAGGGAGTGATGGAGACATGGGAAACTAGAGACTTGTGTGCCAGTCTGATGTTTTTAAACCACCAAGCTGGAACAGTCAAAACAAGTCTCCAGGCTCAGCGCCTGTAGCTCAAGCAGCTAAGGCGCCAGCCACATACTCCAGAACCGGCAGGTTCGAATCTACCCTGGGCCTGCCAAACAATAAGGACAACTACAACCAAAAAATAGTCAGGCATTGTGGCGGGTGCCTGTAGTCCCAGCTACATGGGAGGCTGAGGCAAGAGAATCGCTTGAGCCCAGAAGTTGGAGGTTGCTGTGAGCCGTGACACCATAGCACTCTA